TCAAAGCTGTGGGAGAGGGAATGGGATCTTTTCCTCCTCCTCGGCCAAATATAGGTCTTCAGATTGTTGAACCTGTAAGAAAGGCCACTGTCATTGACAAGAAACCTAATGCCACCCAACCGGATGCATCTTTCTTAGTAAATGAGAGCACCATCAAAGACTCCATAAATGTCAGTACAAGTTTGGAAATTTCCAAAACCCCTTTGCTCTTTGCCTTTTTTTATTACTGTGTCAAATCATGAGCTCTTGCATATGTTAACAAAGTTGTATCACATTTTCCCATTCAATGGCAGGTTGATAGCCCTATTGTTAAGACCCCCAAAGCTAAACACGTAAAAGAGAGCGACACTTCTTTGGGCCAGTTGAGGAAGGTCAAAATACTTAACGAAAACCTAAAGGTACTATCCAATGAGGTCAACTTGTATAAACGTACGGTATTTATCCCAGTACCTGTATGGTCATTCTGAGGTGTTGTCTGTTCTCTCTTTCTAAACCAGGTATTCAAGGAAAAGAAATCGGCAAGAGAGAACTTTGTCTGTGGAGCATGTCGTCAGGTATAATTGCTTTTTAGACTATATTACAAATCTAAAACTGCTTCTTAGAGAAAAGCGTTTGACTATTATCTTCGTGGCCAGCATGGACACATGAGAACCAATAAACACTGCCCAAAATACCGAGAAAATACAGAATCACAGCCCGATGGTATAGATATAGAGAAGTCTGTGGGAAAACCGAGTTCTTCAGAACTACCAGGCCAGGTCAAGCTGAAACCTATCAAGAACAGCAAGGCTGCGCCGAAAAGTGTAATGAAAGTTTCTGTAGATGAAGCTTTGAAGGGAGATAATTCAACTTCCAAAACGGGGGGTCTCCCTCTGAGGTTTAGATATGGTATCCCGACTGCGGGAATGTCAGATAAACTTGGTTCAGAAGCTCCAGGAAGTTCTGAACAAGCAGCTGTATCTGAACTAGACACTGGGACTAAGTCCACATCTAAGATTAAAAAACTCAAGATTTCAAGTAAGGCAAAATCTAAAGAGTCAAAGGTTGAATCTGACGGACCTTCGCATTCACTGATGCCTACATTTAGCAGAGAGAGAGGGGAAAGCGCATCTCACAAGCCGTCTGTTTCTGGACAACCCATGTCCGATACAGAGAGAAATCAAGGTGCTACAAGCAGACACACTATTTCTATTCTGCAGCCATCGTTAAGCATGGATAGAGATCAAGCTGAATCTCGTAGGCCTCATCTCGTGATACGACCGCCGACAGAAAGGGAACAGCCTCAGAAGAAACTTGTTATAAAACGCTCAAAAGAGATAACTGATCATGACATGAGTAGCCTTGAAGAGAGTCCACGGTTTGAGTCAAGGAAAACAAAAAGAATGGCAGAACTGGCGGGTTTCCAGAGGCAGCAGAGCTTCAGATTGTCAGAGAACTCTGTAGAGCGGAGACCAACAGAGGATAGAGTATGGTGGGAGGAAGATGAGATAAGCACGGAAAGGCACATGGAAGTAAGGGGGAGGAGAGATTATGATGATATGACTGTATCAGAAGAACCCAATGAGATAGCCGAGATTAGAAGATACGAAGAGGTTTTACGGAGTG